TGTATTATGACAAAAATCTGAGCCCCCCCCCCGCTCCTGTGACTGACCGTAGTATTTTAAAGACTCCGATCCCTCCCCCCCTAAACGGGTCACGTAGTATGGGTACGATCCCTTATCATTGTTTTTGGCGGGAATAATTGTGACCTTCTAGAGCTAGAATGTTGTAACCGTTTGTTAGTAAACGTTCGATTTTTTTATTTCGACTTCAAATCAATGACAATTAGAAATTCTGATGTACGATCCTTTAGCAATATATCAGTATGCGTGACATAATGACCTTCTGGAAGCTTCCAAATTGTTACCAGCGTATTGATTTGCATTCCGCATCGTCCCCGCAATGCCACGTGCCTCAACTTGACCTGGTATTAGGGCAAGGTCAATTATAGTACTTCGCAATACATCCTATATATGTTGGAGAAGTTAAAATGCTACGAGAATATTTAAATATTTCACACCTTTTTTTTTATATCATAAGGTGGCAAACGAGCGAGCGGCCACCTGAAATCGCTGAAATAGCGAAGTGACCGTTGCCCATAGACATACGTAATTGCATATGCGTTGCCCATCTTTAATCGACGGAGGAGAGGATGCACAGAAAGAAAATATTTCCCCTTTCCATGCATCCTCTCATCCGGAAAGTCCACTTCCACTTCCCATCCTTTCCTCAATAGAAAAAGGGTGGGAAGGGAAAGAGGACTAAATTAGGCCTCCGGGAGGCACACTCATCAGACGAAACGCGGAATTGCTTCCACTTCACGCCTATCTTCTGTGTGGTCGTGGTATTTCACCGGGCGAGCCGGGCCGATTCGTGCGAAGATGTTAAAGCGGGCTCTACCACTGTTAAAATACCACCTTCATACTATCCTATCTCTATAGAGACCATCTTTTCTCTCATTTCGCAACTGATAGATTTTCGAAAAAAATCTTCAAACAGAGGAGTAGTTACTGATATGTTTCTTGCTTTAATGTTACAATGTTCTCTGAGTAAAAGGTTGGATACAATTTTTTCGAAAATAAAGTGTAGCACGACAATGTAAAAATATATTTGACGTCACCGTGTCTCCGAGATTTATGGACCTTCATTATTTTCTTGGATTGGTCACGAAAAATCTTAGCTAGTGAAATAAATTAAAGTTTCTTTTTTAGTAATTTATAGTGTAATGACGCACGCATGTATAATACGATTACATTACTACGTTACCGAAAAATTAGTTGAATGACTTGTCAACTTTACGTATCTTAAAAAATTGACAAACAAGACATTATTTGAACGTCTAAAATTTATAATTTTTTTAATGCTTAGTAAACACAAATGCATACTAAATAAGGTCTGGAGTAACATCACGCGAAACACACAACGTCTCCTGTCTCTTTCACACATGCATGTGAAAGAGACAGAAGACGTTTGTCAAGACCGTGCCTCAAAGGAAATCCGTAATCTGTATGTCTGTTGTAATTTATTAATAAACTTTATTCGTTTTTTATTGTTTCCAGGAGTTAAAAACATTCTACATGCTGACAGTAACTGTGATATTTGGTGTGGCGATGGCGCTGCAAATTCCGCGATTTAACGTGCCCTATGCTGTCAAGATGTGCGTCTTCATCGGCTGGGCGGCGTACGGCGTCCTGCCCACTTTACACTGGACCTACGTTATGGGGGGATTCGATAATCCAATGGTTCAGGTTAGCTGGTTAAATATTATAGTTAAATACCTTTGTTACGTACTTTTTGTTATTGTATTGTCAGCCTTGTACCATTGCTTTTAGAGTTGATTTAAAGTTGTGTCATTTTAAAATGTTGGTTGGTGGGTAAAGTTTGGTCAAAGATTCAATATCGATTAGAAGGCTAATAAACTCTTTGAGAATGTTTCAAATATTAGGTAATGACATTCGACTTTAAAACAATAGAGAGTGCATTTTCGTAAGGTTCTTTTGGGTAATTATGTTGATGTCTCGTAAATATTTTATTGTTTTACTTTCAGATGTTCTTCCCAAGAGTGATCGGAATGTATGTTATCAGTGGTACTGCTTTTGCAATTTATGCCTTTAAGGTAAGATATCATTATGATTTCTCTCTCAGATTTTCCAAAGAGAATGAGGGAGATGGCAATATATTAGAAAAATGTAAAAGTCAACTCTACAGTTGTTTAAGAGAAAATAATTAATATTTTGTTTGACAGGTCCCAGAGCGGTGGTTCCCTGGTAAGGTAGACTACATCGGCCATTCACACCAATGGTGGCATGTTTTAGTACTCGGTGCATTGTACTACTGGCACAATTCGGCTATGATTTACGTCCAGTATAGGATGAACCACGGAT